ATTAGCTCTGAGAGCATGCTTTGAAGCTCCTTAGTTCCTAGAAAACTGAACGGTAAGAGTTGGTTGGACTTATTACCTATGGTAGTTATCAATCTCATAAGTACCTGGAGGAAGAATGGATGAGATCCGGGTCTTTCCATGTATGGGAGAAGACATTCTTTCTAATATATTTGAAAAGAGAAAAATAGAAAAGTTTTTATAATTTTTAATTATTATTCCATTTATGAAGATAATCTTCTAGGCCAATACCGCACTTTCATCAAAATTTTTATTGTCCGCTGGATGATTTGCTAGGATAAAAATCAGAAAAAAGAAAGATGGGGGTATAGGGTATCGGAAAGGATCATCTTGTTCACATCACAAATTGATCATCAATATCACAAAATTCTTTCCGATACCCTATATCGGAAAGGATCATGAATTTTGTCTTCGTTTATCAAAGTTTCCAACAAAGGAGAAGTAAAACTCGTGATAACTGCGCAGCAATCATATCAGAAGGTCGGTAACCCTCGTCACTAAGGGCTCCTCAAAAATGAGGGAACGCGAGCTCTGCCCGCCCGGGCTTTCTGCCCGCAGCCCGACCTCCCCGCCTCCGACCCCATCCCCCCTTCCCCCAGCCCGACTAGGGATGGCCGCCTCCCGATCACTCCACTTTCCCTTTCCCGTCCCTTCGCAAAATGTCTGCGTCCACTGTTCTGCCAATGCCAGTCACCGAGTCCTTCACGCTAAATTACATTAAATTTTATTAAATAGTTTAGCCCCTTCTGATTCTGTCCCACGTTTGAAGAGAACTGCGAACGACAAATGTATTGCGAGGCATGTCATGTCTTCCATTTCGGAGATTTGGTTGGAAAAATTAGACGCAGGCAGGCGCTGCTTTCAAGCAGTAAATCGGAAAAATCAAACTTCTGATTAATGAAAAACGCTGGCAATAACAATCGAGCCCAACAATGGTGTTGAGAATTATGTCCTTCGTCTGGCCATGTAAGTTCAGAGAATGAGAGTATTGAGTGTGTTTTTCCCGCCTCAGGTAGCTGCCAACTTAATTATTACGGGCGAGTCTTCTCCAGAGTGGATATAATCGTCGATATTTAAGACGTTCGTCAAGACGTTACCTAACTTTATGTGGGGAAAAGAGCACGATTCGGATTATCAGCTTATCAGATTCCTTTTTTGCAGAGGAGGAAATTCTTTTTTTTGCAAAAATTGTGACCATGAGATTTTTGTGAAATAAAATTTATGATTTGAGTTTTTTCATTTATCTTGTTATCACTTTATAATTTTGCTTTTGTGAAATCTTTCAAAACCTTCTCTTGTGATTCTCCATCATGTTGAATAGATTTACTTAAATATAAAAATTGAAGAGAAATAATTTCCTTAGAAACTAAAGCTTTAGAAATAAAAAGACCTAGTTGTTTTTTGGGGGAAGAAGAATGGAAGCCCCAAACATGCTACTCCATTTCTCCTCCCCTCGCAAATGGGAGGAGAATTGGGGCATGGGGCAGGAAAAAACTACGAAGTACAAGTTCCGTGCGGGGAAGGGAGGCCGCCAGAGAAAGAGCCCGATGGGCGAGCTAAAGCGGGAGGGTCTCCACAACTAATAACTAGTAACCGGGAGGTCGGGCTGCGGGGGAGGGTGTCTGGTTGCGGGGGGAGGGGGTCGGGATGTGGGCCCGGGTGAGGAGTGGGGGTCGGGCTGCGGGCAGAAAGCCCGGGCGGGCAGAGGTCGCGTTCCCTCATTTTTGAGGAGCCCTTAGTGACGAGGGTCAGTAACTACAGGTTGGGCTCGCAAACCATAACAGCATCGTAAGGGAAAGAACTACATGTGAAACAGATCAGTTTTCTTGCCTAGCTGTGTGGAACAAATCCTCAAGGGAGAGACAAATCCAGAGTTGCTGCATATATACACTCTACCATGAAGAGCTTCGAAGGGCTTCAACACATATTCAATGAGTTATGGCATGTGGCATTATCTATACTTGGCAGCTGTAGGATTTTAAGTTATAATGTTCTCAAATTTTAACACTCTTAACTAAAAAATTTTGATCAATAAAAACTTTAACTATTTTTGAAAGCCTAAATATATTATTTGAGACACTTTCATATGAAAATGATCAATTAGGCGATGCAGAAACATACCTCTTCATAAATCTTTTGATTTACATGGTATGGACATTCAGTGGCGTAATGTATATTTAAAAAATGGAGCACTACTGCTATCATGATACCTTCCACTGCTATTTCTTACATTCAGCGCTTGACGGGGTCTTCCCCTCGGATTGCTATCCTCCTGGCCCCTTGTCTCTTTACTTTATGCACGCGCGGACCATACTTTGTCCCTGACTGGAAGTCTGTGGAGGAGACTTCTGTCTCCCAACTTATGTAGCTCCGGGAACTGCTGACTGGAGACCGGATGATTTGACGAAAGCAACCGAATAGAGTGACGCACCTCGGTCGTATCGTTCACGGGCGCCTTACGAATTATGAACCGCTCTTTAGGTCGAATGCTTCACTATCGATTTCGACTGGCATCGTCAGTGTTGCCGCCTTCGCTTCTGCTGCTTGCTCGTGTTCGAGGTACGAATTAGATCTTAGATGAGCTTGAAAGCACGGCAACCTCAGCGAACTGTGGATTATGAGTACGGAGCTTCTTTCTGAGGAGCGGCGGGTGAGATTCTTCGTTTATTGTGCAATCTACATGGTGCCATAATTTCGACGAGACTCTTGCGGCGATCATGTAGCATATCGTTGCAGTAATCGAAAATATCAACGGACTGTGCGGCACGAGCATCGAATGCGCGGACGAAAGTCTGATTGTGTCTGAGCTTTCCAAGCCTGCTCTGGAACAGCTTGCCGTTGCTCGGCACTGTTTTGTTGCTCGAGCAAGGACGCCATCGCCAGTGCTGAGCTTCGCATGCTCGATTATTTTATAATCGTTGGTCATGTCGGAGAAGGTCTGATTCAATGGTTAGAGTCTGTTGAGTCCGAATCTGTCCGATGCTCTGGGAAGCCATCAATGTAGTTTCAAGTGACAGAGGCGTCGAAGCACTGGTGAGTGCCTGCGAGGTCGAGCTCACACTAGGGCGAGCCTGCTTTTAAATTTCTTATTCATTGCATGAAGCAAAGTACCACAATTTATGCTTTTTCAACTCTTTAAAGGCGTTCCACCTTTCGCGGGTTTCCTTTACATCTTCGAGCTTCTGACTCGATGTACAAGTGGCTGGAGGAAGGCATTCACATTCTCAGTGGAGGTAACATTCGATTTCGGCGCACCTGAGAGACTCAGGGCTGGTTTAAATCATGAAATATTCTTGATCGAGGTAGCTCACAATTCACAGTAGAAATCCAATCCAATCAAGAATTTGGAAAATCCTTAAGCAGTTGAGCCTCCAAATCTGTCTAACCCGCGATGCGCAAGCAAGTCTACAAAAGAAAGAAAGGCCACGTCTTTCCTCCATCTAAGAGCACAAACTCGACCATTCGGAGTTCAACCTGCGATGTTCTGCATCAGCATGACTGTTGACGATACGAGATCTGGTAAGCAGACTGTGTCACGTAGAGGATCCGACCTAGTTCAGGTAAGCATTGTCAGGGTGCGCTGTATATGAACCAGGTCTTCCCCCTCTGTCGGTAGCGGTACAAGAAAATTGCGACTCGTTTGGACAGCTAAAGACAAAGACAGAGCGACCGAAGGTTTTCGACACTCCGCCAATGAGGAAATTATGACCCACTACAACCCAACATGACATGAGACGTTGTCATGTCCTGCTGCGTTCGTTGGAGATCCAGGAGCTTTACCTCCTCATCCTCGATTTCTTGAAAACCTCGATCGGTTCAGACGTTCATGACCCGATCAAATCTGGTCATTCAATTAGATTTCTTTCAATCTTTGCCAAACGTAGGAGAGACTGCCATGCACGATTTAAACCTCTGCCGGGGTCAAATCTTTTCGGCATGGAGGCCGATCCTACCGAACGCCGTGTCAAGTGTACTTCAAATCCAACAAGACTATTCCAGAAAGCAAGTTCCTTTTCCGCTGTTGAAGCAAAAATTGTCATTCAATGCTTGCTTTACCGGTTGCGAGGCATCGAGATGCTAGAAATCATTACGAGGTCTCTTTTCGCGTGGAGCTGGACGGACAAAAACGGGTCCGCAGAAAGCCATGCTTCACATGACGCCAATTACTGCCCAGTCGAGCAGACAACAGTCGTTCTGCCGCTTTAATCAATGAATCGAGCTTTCATATTCTTTTCCGCTCATCCGTGCGCCTCGTCCACAGGGCCCTCGATAATCATGCCCCCTCCGAGAAACGACACCCCGATGGATATGTCGGCGATGCTGGCCACTTTGACCGCCCCGCCTGTGAGCGCAGCGTGCCGGTGACCGGTCAGCGATGCACGGCCATTCCGAACCCCGTCCCGTGGGAGCCTTCCGACGACGAACGTCTCCCCCGACGCGGTCGCGAACATTTGCTCCGACGGGGTAAGTCGTTCGATCCGCGGTCGTCCCCCGTCCCGGAATGTCGACGGGATTCGCCCGTCGCGCACTGGGTCCGGAGAGCTCAGGCTTCGCACGGTCGCGGTTTGCAGCTGTCGCATCTGCGAATCGCGCAGAGAATCTTTGACAGAAGAGACCGGCCCGCGTTACGACCCCGCCCTGGCTCCCCTCTTCCCCCACCGGAAGGCGTCGTCCGTCGGCCGGCCTGTCTCCGGGCTGTCAAACGGGCGCCTCATCGTCGGCGGTAAGTCGACGGGAGTGTGCAGCCCCTGCACGCGGCGGCATGCGCGGCCGGCCTCTCGCCCGGTGGCGCTGACGAGGAAGCGTGAACAGCGTCCGCCCTGCGCGGAACGACTGAGCGACCGAACGACTGCCCGCCCGACGGCGACCGGAGGGTCAGACGAGAGCAGAAGGAGAGGGAGCCGTCCTTCATCATCAGTCAGTCAATCGGTCTGTCGGTCGGTCGGTCTGGCAGTCAATCAGGCAATCAGGCAGGCAGCGGGCGGGGGGTAAATGGAGGAGTTTCGAGCGGAAACGACCGCGCTGTTATGACCCGCGGATTTAAATTTGGAATATGATTTGCATGCCCCGTTAGGAAGAGAGAGAGAGAGAGAGAGCACAAAGAGATCGAAAGGTGCGGGGCAGGGGAACCAGAGACAGAGCCAGAACCAGCGCCTGCAAGAAGATGTGACCGTAGTAAACGATCGACGTTTGTCGGAGAATGGAGGGACTGACTGACGGCCCATTCGCACATGGCGTCAGCTGCTGCAGCCTTTTCCCCTTTGGCGGACTCTACAGACGCAGCACTGATTCGAAGGAGCCTCACTTGGTGCGGCCTGAGGACGCGAACTGACCGACGGACTGATTGACGAGGAGGCCTCGGACTGCGACATCAACAGTGAGTCCAGATCGGGGTTGTAGTACGAGGAGGGCAAGTGATGCGTGTGTCTGTGTGGGGGAAGACGCCCGCAATAGTGGAAGTGGGAGGGAGTTATTAGATCGCGAGTTCCGGTTCGGCTTGATGGTGGCCGATTGCTGCTAGCACGCGGTGGCAGAGGAATTTCTTTTCTTTTCTCATCGTAGGGAGTCGAAGAGGACGAGGCATGAACTCGGTGTCTGATGGAAGAGTAGGATTCATCATTCATCCTCGCGTCCGGCAGTTAGTTTAGCTCTACGGTAGCATTGGGCATAAAATTGGTTCGAAGATCCCTTCCTTGTTTCCTTGTTTCCTTCCTTCCTTTCCCCTACCCACCCTCCCTCTCACCCACCAACCAATCAAGAAACCAACCAACCAACCAACCAAAGCAAGGAAGCAAAACTTTATTTTGTTGTTGTTGTTATTGTTGTTCCTGACGACACTGAGCGGGCAGCGAGAGCATCGAGCAGGATCGGGCGGCATTTAGTGGATTGACGACGTTTTTGGTGGTTTCTTGAAGAGGCCATAGCCATGACTGCCGAACATTCGCCTCACGCTTCACCAGAATCGTATCCATCGTTTGCGGGAAAGGGCTCTGGTGGCCCTCTACTGGGCTCGTTCACTCTGGATTCTCAAGGAGCGGCCTTACCTTCTCAATTTAAGAATGTGTTAGATTCACATCCGGAACTCGGAGCTAAACAGGATGTCGCCCCGTCGAACGGGAAGAGTTCTTCTCCTCCGACTTCCCTTCACGTTCTAGCGGGAGCAGATTCTTCTCCGAATGGAGAGCTTGTAGCAAAGCGGGAGGCCTTACCCCAGTCCTATGTCGATAGTGCGACCTCTTCGGGTGCCCCCAACCAAATCCAAGTAAAATTCAGAGAAGAGCGGGATGGTATCCCTAGACGTGACACATACGGAAACGATACATCATCAGTGGCCTTGGAATACAGTGGCAGAACTGACAGAACTGAAACTACCACCACCTCCGATTACACCACGGAAGTCGAGTCGACTTCGACCGAACAAACATCTCTCACTCGAAGCACTTTGGACTCCGAGCAGCAGTCGTTTCCACAGAGAGCACCAGGGCACGTACCTGCGGTCGGGGACGAACCTGCGGCCGAGAATCCGAGTCTTTTGACAGGTTTGCCTCAGCCTGCGAAGCCCAGCATGCTCCGGACCTCAACTGCTGAGAAAGAGGAATCGTTGAAGAAGTTGGTAGTGATTCCCGATTACCTCGGAAAGGGTATGTCAGCAGCGGTTGATTCATCCGACTTAACTTATGTGGAAGGTCCTCAACTTTCTGCTGCGAATGCTCCAGAAAAGCCTATCCTTGTGTTCATCAACTCCAAAAGCGGTGGCCGTCTTGGCCCCGAGCTGGAGGCATTGCTTGTGGAGCTCATCGCTCCCAATCAGGTACTTTTGCGCTATGCAGGTTAGATTCTATTGCTTCGTCTTTGCATATTCCATGTCAGAGTAGTGGAACAAAATCTGAGAACTGCACCCAGTTCGAGCAAGAACTTTCGACATTTGAAGGTGAAGTCAGACAATGCATTTCATGACATGTGTGTTATGCGTTCGCAATTTTCGTACTTGGACAAAATGGACCGTAAGTATGGTTTGGTGAAATCAGGTGTACGACTTATCTAAGTGCAAGCCAGTTCCTGCATTGCGATACGGGCTGGGCTATTTGGAGGAGGCAGCAAGAGCCGGTGACGAATGTGCACGCGCAACTCGGAATAACCTTCGAATCATGGTACTTTCTTTGCAATCCATTTTCTTTAGACAACACAGAATGCTCATTGCGAACCGCAGAACTTTCACATAGGAATTCAAATGTCACGTTTATATTGCTAGAAGTCTGTATCTAGATTCTTTTCTCTTATTCTATAAGATGTAGATGGCAGCAGGAGGCGAATTTTTCAGCTTTGGCTCCTTGGAAGTTTGGTGCAGGTTGCTGGTGGCGATGGGACTGTAGGCTGGGTTCTTTCTTCTGTAGCAGAGCTGGAGCGGAATGATGAATTTAAAATTCCTCCAGTTGGCGTAATTCCTCTTGGAACTGGAAATGATCTATCTCGAAGTTTTCGTTGGGTTCGTACCTACTTCGTTCCCCACCATTCGGTTTTTTTTTCTGTCATCCTAGACTGCTAATTAGACTGCCATCTCACCCTCCAAGCAAGACTACGACTGGAGACTCAAACACTGTAAATTTTAGATATCAACTGTACGTTTTCTTCCTTGTCTTTGCTGTCTTTACGATTTTCGTAATATCGTTCCTTTCTTGAACACAGGGAGGATCGTTTACCAAATGTACTCGTTCTTCTGTGAGGCGATTCCTTGTCAAGGCGACGGAGGCTAAGGTTTCGACCCTCGACAGGTATCCCTCGTTGATGTAGTCTTAGAATCAACGCAGATGATTTACGGATGTGGAGCCATTATGAGCGAAAAGTAAAGCTTGTTATACCGGAAAGCAGGAAGCAAAGGTGTTGGTCAAAGTTTGCTTCCTACATCGAGGCGTTTTATCAATCATGATTGACATCATAACTCAGTCAAGCATGCCGAAGTAGTTTTGAGTCTCGTGCTCCTCTCCACCATACGTGGCAATAGAGCTGATCCTAGCTCAACATACTAAATAGCATATAACATATCCACTTGCCAACAGAACCGGGCTGGCTGGGTATCGCTGGACGGTAAACTACACTGGGGACTCAAAACTTTGATGGGTTTTGGTAGTAGCAACCGCTTATGGACAAGCGTCCTTTTCTACATGTTCCTCATCTTCGTTGCGGATTTCAAACAGAGAGCCTTTATCTAGATAATTGTGAAACTGCTAGCAACCCGATAATTGTAGAGGGTTCAACTTAGTACTGAAAGTATGCGTCACTGTCAGACTTTGCATGGCCATTCCACATGACACGAGTTGTTCCTGGTATAGAGCACTTTATTTCAGTTATGCATTCGTCGAAATGAGTCATTTCAATATACTGGTATCATGTGAGTGCTACTTTCTATGTTGACGACACCCGTCTACACTGGTTGTCGTCAGTCGACGCACTTCGATATCAACGTGAGCGTTTTTTAGCTATTGCCTAGCTTCTAGCTTCTAGCTTCTACACTTATTGGGCTCAATCAGGGATTTTTCGCATAACCGTATGTCAGGGCATTATCCGTGTGGATATTCAAAGTCTAGATATGGACTCTCTACCTCTCCTCAGATCGTTACCGTTACCGAAAGGAAATACATATCTACGTATCCGTCGTTGTATACAGCTTCCGATGTCTCTGTGCGTTGAAGAATGAAATTATACATATAATCTTCGAATTTAGCACTACACGGTGGGAGAATCTCAGTATTCTCCTTCCCTCTGTCGATCGTGAACTTGAACTGTAAATTCGTTGTCAGTTGGCAGGTTGTGGTCAAACCAGCACCATCTCGCAAGGAGGATCCACTTAAGTTACCCCACTGCATGAAGGAGCAGCATCATATTCCGCTTGAGGTAAGCTTACCGTCTCTCGCCTACCTTAAATCTGCGGGTCTCCGGCGAAGGAACTTGTTCTTTGTGAAAGTAGGATTCAGCATCGATACACTGGGCAGGGTAACATTGACGGTGGAAACGTGATTTTTTCGTTCAGAACACCGAAAAGCAGAAGTATGCTGCAGAAGAGAGCCCAAACTTTGCGGGAGCTTTCTACAACTATTTCAGTGTTGGTAATCAGCACTCTTACCTATCCTTGACTTCCAAAATCTGCTAAACTGTTGTTCAAGATGGTGCAGATGTTGTTCAGATGTTGTCTGAATTTCTTTACGACTTGAAGAAAGCGTGTAGGTGTGCCTCATAATATGTATCGTGACTAACAATTTTGATTACTTCGATACACATTGGGTGTGCTTGCCGATCCATGCTATGCATTGGGGTTGATATTGGTGATAGCGTACCATTTGTATAGGTATGGATGCACAAGTAGCGTATGGTTTCCACCACTTACGTGATGAGGCTCCATGGCTAGCTCGAGGCCGTCTGAGCAACCAGGTACTTTGTAGCTTCACGTTGTTTCTGCTAGCGTCTGGCGAGTTTTATGGTTTCGAGTTAAAGGAGTTGTCATCTTGCCACGAAACGATACGAAACGATAGTTGCACTGCAAGCACTTACCTTTATCATTATTGATTGCTTTTGGAACTTCATCTTATCCAGCTTGTTTACACCGGGTACGGCTGCGTACAAGGTTGGTTCTGCACAGCTTGCTCCACGGCTCCACGGGCCCGGTGAGTTCGTCATATGCGGATGAATGTGGTTGGATTGTTATGTTTTGGCTCGACGGAAGTTCCTAACATTTAATCGATGTCAAGAGACTTACAATATTATTATACTCCGCTGTTACTCCCCACATACTTACGGCAGCTGGTCGTAAAACTGCAGGGGAATTAGACATTCAGTGAAACTTCAAGTTATAAGACATGGAGGTTCGGGTGATTGGGAGGATTTGGAGCTGCCCCCCAGGTATTTATGTCGATCTTTTTGTCATCCGTTATTCCAGTCACTTTTTTAGCACGACTGCTATTCGATAGCATGGACTATGATCACGGATTTTTATCTGCACGCTCCCTAGCTTTTTCTCTGGCACCGAAGAGTCGGAACACAATACGTCTTCTGCCTCTGAAGCCTTTTCCTAGTCTTAAAGTATACCGTGTAAGGGACTGATGCTAAGATATATATTAGTAAGAGGAGGTTACTTATCTCAACACATTTATCAGCCCCAAAATCTTCAAATGAGGAGAGGAGCGATGAATGTCATAAAGATAGATACAATAAGAATCTGCGGTGCAAACAGGGTCAGTATTGCAGTGCGCAGAAATAGGAGCAGAGTTTTACTGCAACATTACAAGAATGATCAAACAGATCACCTGAACATATCTTCTCTTATATGGGTGTGATTGGTCGACAGTGTCAGAGCGATCGTCGTATTGAATCTGCAAAGCTATGCTGGTGGAAGGAATCCTTGGGGCAACCCTAGTGCCAGCCGACTCAAAAGAGTACGTATCTATATTTCTGTTCGTGAGTTCAACGCGGAGGATGTCTTTTCCTATTCTAAAGCTCCCGCTGTGTTCAGCACTATCGACTGGGGCCTTAACTTGAACAACTTGAATTGGTAGATGAAGAGTTCCTGTTTGACACCTGGACATTTCGAACAAAGCTTATTGCTGTGATTTGATTCGCTCTAACACATAACACTACCTCCCCTCTTAAGCGGTCCTCTCAGTTTCCTCTAGATCTTCCTCCCGTCCTCTTTTTCCTTCCTCGGTCTCTAGGACTGTCCAGCAATGGTGCGGAACATCCCGTGTTAAGGCTTTGTTTTACTTGTACGAGTAGTACCGTTAAATCTGGTCCAAGATTTCTGAAGAAGATGGTAGCATCTGTCACAGAACTGCTAACTTGTATATTTTTTTCACGATAGCGTTTTGTAAATTTCTTGACGGACAACTCACAGCAGTTGTTACACCTTACAGGAAGGTTTCGTAGAAGCTAGGGCCGATGATGGAATTCTGGAGGTAGTCGGCCTTCGTGACGGATGGCATACTGCCGTTGTACTCCTCGAGCTTCTCACGGCGTTCCGACTAGCTCAGGCAAGTGATGTCTTCATTCTCAGATGCCATTTCTGAACTGGAACTAAATAGTATCATCCTTGCAGTATTGCTAAGTTCTTTTTTGTTTTTTCTCCTCACGCAACAGGCTGTCGCAGTTAGAGTGGAAATGGGAGGAAACCGAGAACGAGCTTACATGCAAATGGATGGCGAGCCTTGGCAACAACCTTTAGGTAGTGCAGACGATATACCTGCAGTAGTTGAAATTGGAAAACTTCCTCACGCTTCCGTCATGTTATCTAGAAAATAAGGTGAATTGTACTTTTGATTTGGAGTAGTTTTTAGATGAAATTTTTCCTGGTTAGATTGACCAGAGTCTCAGGCAGATTATGAGGAATCTAAGGAACTTGGAAATGGGTTTGGTAATTGTAAACTCTGTCTGGTGTAGACCCAGCTACTGGCAGATCCTCCTGATGTATCATAGCAAGGCATAGGTGAAACGTTTATGAACTTTTCACACGGTAATTGGAGAAGGCAATCTTACAATTATCTTCTCGTGTAATACTAGTAGTAGATTTGACTATCTTTTGGAAATATGATGATGGCAACATTGTCAAGATTTCAACACTCAGGGCATCGGGCCTGTAGTCATGCAACTTGGATGGAGTAGTCAAAATTATCATCCCAGAATGCTGGACAACTTGGATTCTAGTTGGCAGACTTCCGCACATTTTGGTTGTTTCAGATCCTATTAGTGTTAGATAGACGACATTGTAACTACTTAAACTCCTCCCTAGATACGGTAGACATGTAGCGCTTCCACTTGAATTTAGGTCTTATATAGTAGTGATGTCTATCTTGTAGGAGCATGAGTGCAAGAGGACAATGCACTTCATGTGAACCATAGTTGACAATACTGGTTCAGGTCTTACTTAAAAGCTTTATCAGAAATTGGTGCCTTCATTACTCTTGTATTGTAATGATAAGTAGCACCTTCAAAGCTGATGCAAATTTTGTCCATGAGCGAAATGAGGGGATGGTGGCTCCCTCATTCCGCTTGTCCTGCACCAGATAATTAAGAATTGTTAGGCTGTCCATACGCTTGTCTATACACAAAAGGAGGGCATGTTGAAGTTCACCTTAATTGAATGTGTCAGATTGTTTCCGATGTTCTCGAAACTGAGCCCATCATTTGTTTGTCAGGCTGAATGGCATGTATTTTGTAGTGTTCCAAGTTCTATTCGTGTAAGGTTCAAGACCTTGAATATAACCGTGTTCCAAAAACTTATTTTACATTTGAAGAGGCATGCAAGGAGGAATCGGAAAAAATCCGTCCGTACCTCACCTGCTGAAATGACCGAAACTCTCGAGACTTGGATCCACCTTGCTTCATCTGTGACAGTAAGTAGTAGTGCAGCTGCAGAGTCCTGAACACAGAGGATGTCGTCTATGACGAGTACACTCCCCGGCGACGGCATTTGAAGATTTGAGGTGGAATTAGTCGGTGCAATGGTATGGGCCGTCACGATTTTTCAACGAGTCAATCCCTTTCTCAGTTATCCTGCCGCGTTGTTTTCAGCCTCGCTTGTGGTAACTTCACGCTGTGTAGAGCTGTATATTGTTGTTATGCTCCACGACACCGCCATGCACATTCCAACCTCTCTGTGAATGATTGAGGGACGGGGGCGGACCTCTTCAACTGCGAGAATATTCGCCCTTGATTCCGGCCGGATCATCACCGTGTAGCGTACTGCGATAATGCGAGCTTGGATGCAGCAGCAGTGAAGGATGTGCAGCACGGATGTGCCCTCGAAGCTCACAGCTTTTCACAGCACCCGTAACAACACGTGCGTATTCTCACGGCTCTCCAATCCCAGCAGCACACTTCATCCGCCCGCCACCACTGCTGCATGGGAAAGAGACGGGGAAGAAGAACCGGTCCGACTGCAAGTCGCAACTATCTCTCCAGGGCCCCCCGTAGCAGCAACCTTCATTGCAGCGGACAGCCAATGACGCCCGAGCAACAGGTGTGCAGCTCTGGTTGGCTGATGCGGCACAAACCGGCCGCGTAGGCTTTAGGGCGAGTGACTAAGCAAGGCCCGGCACCTCTCGCAGCATATTCCTAAAGTACACTGTAGGGTCGTCGTGCTCCAAGGAAGAGGCCGGTCGCTTGCCGTCCGTGGCACACCTCTTTCTTACGAAGCGGCTGATAGGGCACTTCCTTCCTGCTGAATCAACCTCCACCTCCATACACGTGGCCGCGTCCCAACTCTCGTGACAACAATGGTTTCTGTATTTATTTTTTATCTCCTTTTGTTCTTTTACGTGTGATGTTATTTTCGTTCGGCGTCATGGTGAACCATGCCTATTCATACACACGATGGGACATAGACCTAAATAATTCGATCAAATTTGCAATCCATCAATTAGTTAAATATGCTAAGTAATCAGATACAAACAGATCATACACGTGCACATTTGAATGGACGATTTAATTGTTACTAAAGTGAATGAATGAATTGTAATGTGTTTTTTGCAGCTCTTGACGCTGCATCATCTTTTGATTTAGCTCTTAAAATCAAAACATTATGCAGTTTTTTTTCTTCGTATATCTATAGCATTGTATCGGGTAAAGAAAAAGCTCCTCAGGTTTTTTTCCTTACCCGATAAAACATCATATTACGTAAAACAAAGGAAGGAAAACAAAGGCCCGTAAGGCCTTTGGGTCCCACGGGCTTGGTCCTTACAAGTATGTTCGAATCATCGTACGGTTTGACTGGATACTATCTCCAAAAATTATTCAAGGATAGAATTTTCTTTTTACTTTCAAATCTTGCATAGAGGCACAAGATATATTCCAAACCGTCGCTCGAATCACCACTTTCTACATGAAGTCCAAAATAGCTCGACCTACGTACTTGTACGTTCAATACCACCACCGCAGTCCAAAACACAGATGAGAATGAGGTCTTGACAGCAATCCATGGACCTACACCCAGCGCTGTGTTTTAAGAAATTTAGTAAAGTTAGGGCATTACGGAACGAAGTAAATAACTTTTAGCACAGGCGGAAAAAAGTCACGCCAAATAAATCTATCCTACTTCCAACAAGTTGGACTCGAAGAAACCAATGCCAATCCAGTGCACAATCCACACAAACATGGCTGCCACGTCATCCCAGAAATCAACGTCATCATGACGAGTAGTCAATAATAGTGATACCAAGTAATATAGCAAAAAGGATAAGATTTCATTATTTGGCTACCGGTACTCGTGCTGTAATCTCTATTGGGGGGCTCAAAACTTGAGAAATCACTAGAAATCACCAGTAACGTGGTAGAAATCACTAGTGCATTCCGCACATAGCGCTCTATGCCTTACAATTTATTATTTATTTTTTATTTGGTACTCTATTAACCTATATTCTATAGTTTTTGCAAATTTTGTATCATAAATATGTATTTTGAAGCATATAAGATTTTTTCGATCTCACATATTTATCACAAGAAAATTTTTACTATCATACGGATTTTTTCAAAACAAATTTGTCGAAACTTGTTGGAAAGTAGATCAGTTGTGAGGAAGATCTTAATGCATTTGGTTTTTTGATGATTCAAATTTTAGCGATATTTTTTCCCCATAAATTAAATTGGTGTCGCATCATGAGAACCTTGAGAGGTCATCTTCTTTAATAGTAGATAATGTTAAGATATTAAACGACGTTGGAGTGGAGTAGATTGTCTTGAAGCGTACACTGAAAAAAATTCCAAATACATGGTTATTGAAAGTGATCCAGTGCTTGAAACTTTGGCGTTAGAGTTCTAGTAAATTATCGACACTGAAAATTTTAGTACGAACTTTGATTGCTGATGACAATGAGTCAGAGCATATCTCAAATATAAAGATCATGAAGCATCATTCTCTTAAGCTTGTTATCGAGCGTTTTTTAGCCAGTTGATGTACATAGAGGAGCAGTTGGTGCATATACGAGAGAATAATTTGGTTAAAAAATTTTCTTCTAGATAGTTAGCATAAAGCTCATTTATCCCTGACATGATGCTACTGGGGCCTAGACCCATCTTACCTCTTCGGTTCACCATGTGCGGGTCGGTGGGGTCTTGCCATCTTTTAAATTCTTACTCCTGAAAAAGGACGCGAAATCATGCTCGAGCAGACGAATGCGAATGCGAAAGGAGTGCGAAGGAAGGAGAAGGTGCATGCGAGAGCGCAGAAGAAGCTCGTGGAAGATACAGGAAAGCGCCGGAAGAGCCGATCGGCGCCGACGAGAGCAGGCCTGTGAGCCTGTACCGCCTGCGGTACACAAAGGTACAGGGACAGGGACCCGGGCAGGGGCAGGGGCAGGGACAGGCCGGTGACTCGACGGGAGCTGCGATGCAGACATCACTTGTTCCGACATTGATGAAGTGGACTGAGCCGTGGGGCGCATTATTCCCTGTCGACGTGTCGTCGTGTCGTCGTGGCGCTGCGCCACGAGCGCTCCCGAGCTCTACTACCATCAGCTGCTACTGCCCCGCACTCCCTTCCTTCCTCCCTCCATTCTTTCCATTCCTTTCATCCATCCATCCTTCCGTCCGCTCCGCCCCGCGGCCGTCTCCGTCTGTCCCTCGCAGCGCTCCCCCATTGTCTGGCGCGCTGACCGTTGCCGCGGCTGGCCACGGCGGATCGATCGCACAAAGGTTCGATCGGCAAATCGGGCTCGTCTTTCTGTGGAACTCGAGGCGACGAAGAAGGTGAATTTTTCTCTCTTGCGCTTGTGCGATTGTGCGTTCGGGGAATTGGGCGCTAGCCATACATAGGCGAGATCGAGCAGTTTGTCCGTCCCTGGGGTCGGTGTTTTTCGGGATTGTTCCAGAATTATTTTGTTTGCTGGACGGTGTTTGTTTTGTTCGTGTTCGTCGGGTGGCATGTGGCCCGCATTCGATCTCCCGTTCATGAGGAGGAGGACGACGACGAAGAGGACGAGGAGGCCGTTTCCTTCACGCAGCCGGTCGCCGAATTCGGATCACTAACGTTTGGTCGTTGCGCCTCGGGCGCCATGTGATCGCAGATCTAGGCTCCATGCCTTCCGAATTGTACCCACTGGACTCGTGACGGTGCGCTGTGGCAAGGCCGTGCATGCATTTTCAGAGTACGGGGTTCTGTCTCATCCGGACACGGTTTGATGCTGTCAGCGTCTGTGTGCATTTCTGAGAGAAAACGGGACTTATGTTGGGCTGAGAGTTTTCCGGGTGCAGCTCACAGTAGATCAGTCCTGAGTCCTTTGTTTGCCTGTTTCTTCGGCTGACTGTCGCACTCGGTCGCCTTTTTAATGTGTTGCAGTGATTGCCAGTAATCTCAGCTGAGCTAAATAGCCCAACAGGTTCAACAGTTTCGTGTCGAATTGGTTTCAGAACAGGTACAGGCTCTTTCCCTGTCACCTGAGCCATGAGTGTCTGTAATCAATGAGCTCAAACTATTGCATTCTTTCTCAATCGTTGTTAAAGATGCGTTGAATATGTGTGTTCACCCAACAGCAACTTCCATTACCAACAAGTTCTATGTATTTCGTCCTAAATTGCAGGTTATAAATTACGAGAACTTTTTTAGCCATGGAAGAGAAGGAAACACCACCCGAGGAACTTGAGCAAACTGTAGTGCTGCTTGGCGTGTCTCCGTCAACGAAGGGCTACCCCCATCCGTCTCAAAGCAGTACCCATGCTCTTGAATGGACACTGGAGAAGCTCATTCGTAAGAGCTGCAGAAAAGAGTTCAAGCTGATGATTTTGCACGTTCAAGTACCCGACGAAGACGGTAGATACTTTCGCCCTTTTTTTCTTGAACTGATGCTACTGTACACGTAGAATCTACGAACCCAATATACATCTTATGAGCTGCTTTGCTATCCTAAGTGAGCTGAGCCCAGAGTTTAACGTCGACCTGAAACGGTGACCTTATGTAACTTCGTCTGACTCTTCCAGTGGGGTCTAGAGATAGAACCTACTGAAGATACTGACTTTGTACCTTGAATGCAGGTATTGATGAAGTGGACAGCATTTTCGCAACTCCCAGTGACTTTGCCGAGGTTGCGGAGAGTGATCGGAAGATGAGCCACCGCCTTCTTGAATTCTTCACCCAGAAGTGTCATGACGCTCAGGTCCTGTACTATTGTATATCTATGTCTAATTTTGTGGGTATTGGTTGCATCGTGGATGAGATTCAGCAGGAATCATTTTTTGGTTTGCCTCCGTCAGGACAATGTGATGATGTGGTGTTCGTCTGGCTGAAGATGGATGTTTTGTATTTTGCGTACCTCACAGGTACCTTGCCAAGCGTGGATAAAGGTGGGAGATGCAAAGGAAGTGATATGTAAGGAGGTTAAGAGGTTGAAACCTGATATTTTGATCCTTGGCAGCAGAGGTCTTGGTCCTCTGCAGCGGTACGTTTGCATCCCTATTTCTACTCATATCTCCTTGATTACAGTTAAGAGTGTTCATGACAAATTGAAGAACAATCGAGCATAATTAAATCCTCTAGTAAAATCTGAAGTCTCCTCCAGCTCTGAATCTTTATTGCCATACAACAAATATTTGAAAGAAGTGTACAATCTGTAGCAAATTCTCAGTTTCCTGCAGTCCCCTACACCAAGATATGAGTCTATTCAGGTGGCATTGCTGTTAATCCTCTTCACAAGTCGAATATCACGAGTTAGACACTAAGGAATGTCTTTTGGACGTGGTTGCAGGATATTTGTGGGAGGGGTTAGTGACTACTGTGCAAAGAAGGCTGAGTGTCCAGTGCTCGTGATCAAACGAAGGCCTGAGGACATGCCTGAGGATGCAAGCGAAGATTAGGGTCGTGCGTATGTTCAATGAAAATAAAAACTGGTTTGTAACTGTTTTATAAAATATAGCAAATGTCATATATAGGAGAAGTGCTGAATTGCGCTTGCTGTACAAATAAAATTCCACATTTCGACATGTCAAATGCACTTATTGATCGAGAAGCTGTACAACAGCTGTGTCTACTGGGAGGTTGAGAGGTGAGTTACATTGGTTGATATAATGTGAGCATTGGTGCAGGAAATGAATTGTGAATGAGTTCTCGAGTTAGAGTCTCTTACTCCTCGTGTCTTAAATCCAATTATATATAATTTTCAGTTGGAATTTAATGATTTTGAATGGGAAATGATGCTGGAGTGATCTAGAAAAAGTAATTTCTTCGAAGAAGTTTACAATCAAGAGTTTGAAATTGTGTGATTGTCCAAAGATATAGGAAGACAATTAGATGAAAGTATTTCAATGTAATGTCGTCGTTATGTGATTTGGTGTAATTTTGGAGATGTTCAAGACCATTACTTTCGTTTGGTATGACAATTTGCATAAAAATGTGTTAAATTCTTGTGACAATTTACTAGTAAGATTCTCATTGATACCCAATTAAAATATCAGATTACTTTCTTAACAATATAAATTGTATTTCAAATCACATAATGAGATGTCAAGCGAGAAATGACATAGTTCTTGCAGCCGGTAGATTAATGATTAGAATAAGATACTTCGAGAAATTCTTTTGAAAATACTTTATTTCGTAAAGAATTATCCAAGATAACCACTTAGGAAAATTATATCTTTCCAGATGAAGTTTAAAAAAAAAATTCTCAAAATTCTCAAATTGTTTTTCTCAATCTATGTTTAAAATTTGAGGGATATTAAAAGTTGTATGCACCGTCAGCATTTAGTCGATATGCTCCGTCATCAATTCAAGCTAACCTATCACAGAAAGGGTTTGAATTTACCACAGTAATCAAGCAAGTTTTTCTTTGAATTTGAAAGAATTCACTTGTTTTGGGAATGGCTAGTTAAACTATATGTTGGTATATAATAAAGTTCGCGGGTTTTACTTCTTTCCAATCTTCGTCAAACTAGCTGAGCTGCTATTGTACCTTTGCCCTTCTGTGTATCTTTAGCCAATTATTTCCTTGTCTGTCCGGAATCACATGTCATTAATATGAAATTGAAGCCGGACGAAGGAGGATTTGTCAACTAAAGACCCCTACTTAAATAGTGGGGGAATAAGTGAAGAGTCAAGGATGGATGGAGAAGAGAAGGCAAATTTGATCGAGTTTTGAGACAATGGAACTTCTTGAGAACCTTCTATAAAAAGTTTATCTCTAGATGTGTTTTACACTTTTATGACATATATCTTTTGGATAAACAGCTTCAGAGGAGTAAATTGGACTTCATTTGGTAGAAGTTCACCTCCCGTTCACAATAAATCTTGTTGACACAAGATTTACTGTGAACAACAAGAATCTTGTGTCAACAGTGAAACAAAATATGTGTAAGTGAGCAGACAATGAATCCTATGTTGGATTGCAGGAGCAGGTTTATAATGCGAGTCCAAATTATTTGCATGTTGATGGCAAGCATGCATCCAATCTCAAGGTATCTCTTAGTTCCTAGGATAAAAAATTAGCAATATGAAAGGTACCGTGAAAGCCGAATAAGGAGTAGATGTATATCTAGAAGCTTCTCTTCGGTGAGATAAAAGCTCACACATACGTTTCTTCCTTTCATCATTGAACCTCGTGTACGATCGAATTGATCAGTCACAAATATTTACTTCAGGACTTCAGATCCTCTTATAATCAAAAACATATTTTCTACTACAATTAACGCTGAAGGCTTAACAATACTCAGGTCTGGCTTTTGCTTTGATGGCAGTTGTAGTGTCGTGCGAATATACGGAAATACATGACAGTAATCGTCGCTTTAGTCGGATTCATTTTGTTTTCCGAGGCAGGTGCCAGGGTTTCCAAAAACAAGGTAACTGGAATTGTTTTTCTGTGCCGTCAAGATCATAACTGCTCTTGCCTTCGACACGAAGTGACAATAATACTCGTTAAATCTGTGTGACAACTGTAATTGGCTTTGTAATGATCTTAATCATTATGTGGTAATCTATAGAAGAGAAGGATTGACTAGATGGTTACGTCAACTTGATAAATAGCTTTAGATACATTCAACTCTCAAACTTTTGAGATGGATTCATGGATAGCATATGTCAATTTTGGAACTGCAAGATGAAGAGATTCACGCTCGAAGCTGATTAAACTCTTTTCCAATTTCCACATGCAACATTAAACATGTATTCCTTGTTTGTGTCAGTCGCTCAAGATGTCCGGACTTTTGATAATGAATACAGTTGAAATGTCTTTTCAACTAGTAGCCGTGAGAATCAAAAATAAAAGTTGAGAAGTTTGAAGGAAAGTATCAGCCGCGGCAGCTCATTCAAATACTGACTATCCTTTGATGTCTAGTTTCTCTAACATATCCATCATTTTTCACTCCATTTTTAAGTTGCTTTCGCTTTCTTGTAATTTTCTGTTCTCTTAATGGTACTAATCTTACTTAATTCTAAAGCTAGGTACTCAATACAGATTTTGGACTAGCAACACCACTTGAAGGTCTGACAAGTGACAAGAGCTTACAACTTATCTAAACCATCGGCTAAGTTGCTCGAGAGTTCTTCAAAATTGGTGAAACTTCAGATCACATTGTTCTAACTAACTATGCTCACTGGACTTTCTAATGCTCATGACATGTCTTTAACAAAATGTAGCAGGGTTTGCTGTGTCAAATTCTTTGTCATTCGGAGGTCTAAGTTGTGTGAAAGTTTCGTGTGTAGGTACACTTACATTGAAATTATGTGTACGCGTGCGGTGTGGTGCTGGAGCATATGACAGCGAGACGAGAGCACTTTGTATCTTGACATGAAAAATTCCATTTGGTTGAGTGATACAATACAATCGCTGGTGCAAATTGCTGTAGATTCATGGTTGCAGCTCCCTCCACCACGAGAGATCTTCCACACAACATTAGGCGATGTGTTATTGGTTGTGCAAGCTTCCGCGTTGAATCAAGGCTATGTCATCGTGATTAAACGCAGACGGAGGATTGGTAACAAGAAAGATGAAGCTATTAAGGAACTCGACCTTGTGTGTTTCCAATGGAACAAATTGGTTGTTCATCAAGCTCTTCTTCAACGCAACACATCTAGTTGTAGCATTGGCTGTCAATTCAAAGCAAAGATAAATAGCAGAGTAGTCGGCGAAGAAGAAAGAGAAGCCCAACTTGTATGGGATTTACAAGTCTAAGTTGTCCAACATAACCACGAAGTCCTTGCTCATCCACCGCCCATTCGCAAGGACGCGTCCTAGGAGACCAACAAGAGACCTCACTTACTTTCAATTGTGTTGGTGTTACGGCTAGCAGAATTGTTACAACACTATAACAGAATGAAGGGATACTTGCGACGGCAAAAAACATCGGAAAGTTACATCCAAAGTAGCGCTTTTGGATACTTGCAGGCCGGTCTCCGCTTTCTACGTTGCTTGAAAATTTGACCACTACTGAAAGCACGCAATTTTCATCCAAGTGAACGATGAGAAGAAACTAACGCACATGTTGATCATATTGCCGTCGGCAGAAGTTGGTATTGCGGAGATGTAACTTGGATCTATGTTTTGCAATGTTCTTGGCAAAATTTTAGTGTAAGGATTGAAACAAACGTACAAGCATATGACGGATATATGATATATGACGGATGAAAAAGTTGAGAAAGAAGCCGAGATACCAAGTCTTCTGTTCATAAATTTCACCTTCCATCTTCGTTCCAACGTGGAGACGTGAGGCAGAGGTTGAATGTGAAGATCTAAGTACAACTCTGTAATGCCGCCACAAGATCCGCGATCAAAACCGGAATGAAGCAAACAACATCATATGAACAACGGCAATAGCAAAAAGAGTAGGAACTTAAACTCCATATAATTCTGTATTGCATAATCTAACGTTATGTCCCAATTGCTCGCAACGATCACACCGCCATTGTTTTTGATGTGGATCATCAACGTGCTCAAACTCATAAGGTAGCTTGCATGTTGAATTGATCAATTGGCCGTGCATTGGTGCGCTTGAAAACTCTTGTATTTTGATCACAAGAACTGCTTTGACATGATCAAGTTGCACGTGTTGGTAGTGTGAAGCTACATGGACATATTTATCAGCTATCGTCCGCAGCACAACATTCAAAGTTGACGTAGGCCCAAATCGTGGAACACGCGCATGTTGCACAAACCATCATTGCTGATCTGCAACCTCCGGGCTGACTCTCACTCAGGTTTAACTCTGATGGCTTGATGGTAGCGCATCATGGTTCTAGAAGACTAGGATTCATACTCTCACTCATGTCCCAAACACCTTCTCTCGCACACTCTCATGTGTCACTCCAACTCACACACAAACTCTCCTCACATCACCATCTTCACATAAACGCAAACACACGTCGATACTCCAAGATACTCAAAAACTTCACTCCTTCATCTGTGAAACAAATCTTCACACATGACTCTCCAAACTTGCTTGAGAGGTGCTACTCTACCTCTCTATTTATACTCCTTGAGAAATTACCATAGTAACATGTGGTAATTTCTCCTAACTTACTTTTACCTAGGTAAGTTTGACTAACCCTCTCTACGTGGCAACATGCCATTGGCCTACCTAAACCTTCTAGAAGCTTCCGGAATCCAAGGTTTATGTGGCGACATGCCATTGGAAGCTTTTAAACTTCTACAAGCTTCCTAGCCACTAAGTCAACATTAGACTTAGTCTAGCCAATCATCTTTCATACATTTAGTCAAACCAATCAAATCCAAGCTTCTAGTCAAATATCTAATCACTTGGAATCTAGAACTTTTGTATAAGACAAAATAGAAGTGCTCACTTTTTGTAAAAGGCAAAATAGAAGTGCTCACTTCATTCTTCTAGAACTCCGCTAATTATTCCGCCAACTATAGACATTGTAGCTAAACTTAGTCATGACTAGATAAACTTAGTTATAACTAACTAGTTTAGTCATAACTAGCTAGTCTTAGCTATGCCTTGGCTAATCATCCTTAATCACTTGACCACTTCTAAGACTTAGTACATATGTGCAACACCCGGTCTTACAGATCAACTCGTCCACCGACAAA